ATGACCTCGCAGTTGTCACAACTGAATCATGAAATAAAAACGCAATATTCTGAAACAGAAGTTAGGAAAAAACCCTAAATTATGAACATATGCAGATGTCCATTATGTAACTGAAAGGACAAGTCAATTAGTTAATGTATACTAACATCTGCAAATTATACACTTTCAAATTCATGGCCACAGGACTCTACAGAATCAGCTGATATTTTTAACGGGTTATATGGATACTGATAACAGGTAAATGCTGATATAAGATTCGATTTATTTATTCATAAGTGGCTGACATTTTCAGCTATTTGATCTTTGCCTTTTGAAGTAAACTTGCCCAAATGAGGACATCTTGATTAGCAGGGCCATAATCAGAATAAATTTTCGCCGAAATCGCAGCCAAGTCGCTATCTCATGCTGTCTAACTTTAAGAACATAAACTGCCTACGAATCCTGATATGTAAAAACTGGTAAGTATAACTAACATACGACATTAATTTAGCGACCACCACATGTGCCATCAGTACTTGTTCAAAACGATGACTTTTCGACTGCGAGCTTCGTCAATGAAACAATGCACAAATTTCTCATAAATGTAAACGTGAAAACTGAGTGACATGAAGAAAAGTTACCTGTAAATCCTCTGGTTTACGCCCGCTACAGTGGGGTTTCTTGTAGGAAGGCGGCAATGCACGATAGCTGATACCGTAACGTTTACATGACGCAAAATCTATAATACATATACAATTCGACATGAAGGTCACGGCGAAAGTAACTAACCAATTTCCATAGCGAGGTCAGAGCTAATCCCTTCCTGCTCCTTCTTCGCAGGCACCGAATCGGTGGTTTCTTCAGTACCGTCCATGAAGTCTTTAAACCACTTAATCAATTCTGGAAACCTACTGAAGAAAGAAAAATTCTAAAAATGGTAGCGAACTCATGAGAAAATAAGACTTACCCCAAGAAATGCTGAGCCAATTGCAAGAGTTCACGCTTGGTTACGATTTTTATGTTGAACAACACGAGACAACGAAGAAAGTTTAAATAGGGTTCTTCTTTTCGAAGAGCCTTCCTCACCTAAACGACAAGAAGGTAATAGCCAAAACTCACCGCAAATGTAGATCCAACAAAAAGAGTAAATGCTTAGGATGTTTCCCGTGCGAAAGAAGTTCTGTTAGAAGCATTCGAACGACATGATGAGGACACAAGATCACAACAAAGTCGAACAACCTCGCAAACAACAGA